AAGTTTATTTATTTTTGGGACAGAGAGAGACAGAGCATGAACGGGGGAGGGGCAGAGAGAGGGAGACACAGAATCGGAAACAGGCTCCAGGCTCTGAGCCATCAGCCCAGAGCCCGACGCGGGGCTCGAACTCACGGACCGCGAGATCGTGACCTGGCTGAAGTCGGACGCTTAACCGACTGCGCCACCCAGGCGCCCCTGTCTTAAATATTTTAAGAAACTGTTTTGGTAAAGTGATCAGGGTAGAGTTTGAAGACAAAAATCTGGGAGAATTTGGGATTTGCTCGAGTAGGGAGGGCTGGAAATCGCAAAACGTCTGTTGGTCATATAATGATACTTGAAAATTTAATACATTAAGGAAGTAATTAATGAATAGGTTTAACGAACATAAATGAAGAGCTTAAACACTGATTTGTATCTTAAAAACTTGAAGCAAAAGTAAGTGATGTTAATTTTAGGCCTTACTTGGTCTGTCCAATTCGGTGCACCCTCCCAATGGCCTGAAGCTCGTGGGCAGGGTTCAAAATGGGCTCCACCAAGAGAACATGAGTTGCTTCAATGATAGTTAATCCGTTAGAACCTGTGTGCAGGGGCAGCAGCAAAATATTGATTTGGGGATCATGTTTAAATGCTGAGAGGTTCTCCTAAAAAAAGAAAGGTACATTTAAATTTTAGCTGCATCAGTTAAAAATAAGAGCGGTATATTATAGCTCATATTAAAGAAGACTAGTGGTATCCAGGTCATTGTGAAATGTCATAATTAAGACAAGTAAATGTAAAATTATTAATTTTAGAAAATGTAAACTTGTTGTTTGACTTCATGAGGAAAAGTATCACATAAGCCCTCTTGTTCACTGAGATACGGTGGAGGCAAAAGATACATGTATGTGATGGATACAGATTAAACTACATGAGCTTCCAGGAAAGAGAGAGAGGAGGAATGTGTTAAGAGTGAGGATGAGGTCAGAGGTATGAAATCTGCTACATTTTCACTTGGTCTTTTTGTTTTTTGACTCTCAGGGTGTGTGCCTGTCATGCTGAGTGTCATGTAAGGACTTGGGTCATATAGTTTTGCCTGATGCAGTGTCTTGAGAACTTAATCCTGGCACGATGGCCCTGTCCATTCACAAGGTGAATCCCAGGCTGTCTCCTCTATTAAAGCCAACACCCTCAAGTCAGAAGATCTTAAAAAAGAAAAAAATGATCTTGCTATAGGTATAACTGAACAGATAGAAAATTAATTATAGTTTCTCCACCTTGCTTTTGAATGTTAATTTTATAATCAGTAACTCAAACCCTTACACAAGACAATAAATGGAAGTAACCTAGTTAGCAGCAGTTTAAATTTGCAACTAAATCCCCACCTCCCCAAACGCAAGTAAAATCTTCTTGACATACCTGAAATGTCTTAACACGGCTGATCTGAGCAAATTCCATGTTGTTGTCAGTGAGGGCTTTTGAAATAATATCTAATACGTCTTGCCACTAGAACACATAAAACAATAAGAAAACAAATATTTACACATAGCTTTCACATAAAAAGGAGTTGAAAAGGGACTAAATGAAAATAACTTTTGTACCTTAGAATTCAGAAAAAAAAATCTTCAAATGTAGTACCATCAATATTATTTAGTTCTATAGTTTTTTTTTTTTTTTTTTTTTTTTTTTTTTTTTTTTTTTTTTGTTTGTTTGAGATCAAATGCTGGTTAAAGACAGGGTAAAAAACATGACTGCCTTTGGGAAATGAAGTTAAGATAAAGAGAAATAATATCAAATAAATAATGGAGTGCTTAACGGATATAGTTGCTTACCTTTTAGAAATGAAAACTAGAATTTTTACTCATGATATATTTTTTTAATGAGCAGCAGGCAAAAATTTAATTATTAGAATATAAGAACAGAAAGGAGGAATAGTATGAACGCTCTTTTTACAGAGAGGGGACATTCAAAAGTGAACGCCCCTTTACTCAATATTTTATTCAGCAGATTTTTTCTTTTTTTTTTTTTTTTTTAAATTTTTTTTTTTCTCAACGTTTTATTTATTTTTGGGACAGAGAGAGACAGAGCATGAACGGGGGAGGGGCAGAGAGAGAGGGAGACACAGAATCGGAAACAGGCTCCAGGCTCTGAGCCATCAGCCCAGAGCCTGACGCGGGGCTCGAACTCACGGACCGCGAGATCTTGGCCTGGCTGAAGTCGGACGCTCAACCGACTGCGCCACCCAGGCGCCCCTCAGCAGATTTTTTCTTAAACAACCAATTTCATTTGTGAAATGAGACTTTCAAGGTTATAGGTTCTAATTTTTAACATATTAATACCAGAAAATCCCCATAAACCACAAACAGGACGTGTAGCTGTAGAAATTGCCTTGTGAAGCATCACCAAATTCCTCTAAAAATAATTCTATCCTGGGGCGCCTGGGTGGTGCAGTCGGTTAAGCGTCCGACTTCAGCCAGGTCACGATCTCGCCGTCCCTGAGTTCGAGCCCCGCGTCAGGCTCTGGGCTGACGGCTCAGAGCCTGGAGCCTGTTTCCGATTCTGTGTCTCCCTCTCTCTCTGCCCCTCCCCCGTTCATGCTCTGTCTCTCTCTGTCCCAAAAATAAATAAAAACGTTGAAAAAAGAAAAAAAAAATAATTCTATCCTATGGACATAGGAAAATAAAACATGAACATGGAAAATCTAACAGTAATTCTAAATCTCTACTATATGAGGGTAAACATTAAGCACGAACTCTCAGATATAAGCTGATTAGAGCCAGAAAGCCAGTGTGAGCCAAGACCAAGGAAGAACATGGTTGACTGTACCGTTGAGAAGACTAGTGCTTTAGCGCCCGGGTCTCTAAGCTGGATTCTCATCAGAGTTCTGACCACAGCTTCCACTTTGGTAGAATGGCTGCCCTTTGAACACAAAGAAGAAAACACGTCACTGCCAAATTAAATCTAGTTCATAATGGAAAGGAAAACCAATATAAGACACTTTTATTACCAAAACTACAGGTGCATCAAAACAAACTATCAGGTACATATGTGTCTATTCTTCTTTATTCTATATTTGCTGGAAGTTTTCTTTAAACTCAAATTGTAGAAGTTATAGAATTTATACCCAGGGAAAATTGGAATATGAAACACACCAGGAAGTTATAAGTGATATGATCCTGAAGAGAAGATTCTTAGGTTAAAGTCGTTAGGTTTTGTAGTTGCAAGATTTTGTTATTTTAGATAAGCAGAATTGATATAGAAAACACTCTATATTTATATGGATATAAGCTATATATAAATATACATATTTAAATATATATTTTATATAAATATATATATTTATACAGATATTACAGCATTAGAAATGTTAAGAATACAATGAATCAAATTCCAATGCAAGCAAACTGCGAAGAATCCTTTCTTGCAAGGGAATTACAAAGGACAAGGACAGAGGTACAAATGACAGCCACCTGGACAGCAGCAGATTTCTACAAAGCTAGATAAACACTCAACGAGTGGTTTTTGCATCTTCTGGAACCACTTCCATCATAAAAGTATAAAAATGCAAAAATAAAAATGGGGAAATAACAAAATGAGGAAATGAGCCAGTGTTTTTATGGCCTTCATAGAGAAACTTCCTCCTGGAATGCTCTGGGAGATGGCATGACATGGAGAAATTAAGGGCATGGGATTCTGAAAGTGATAAATCTAAATTCAACAGCCAGTTCTGCATCTCGCTAGTTATACAGACTACCCTTTCTGAGCCATAGTTTCATCATCTGTCAAGCAGGAATAATTTTACCTACTTCCAAAGATTGCTGTGATGGTTACATGAGAAAATACATGTATAACATTGAACTCAAACCTGGCAAAGAGCACTCAATACCTTATTATCTAAGACATTACATATGAGCACTATAATGACACAGATAATCCCACAAGGGCGCAGAGCTAACCAAAAAGAGTAAACCGACTCTACTCACCGCTTTTACACAGAGACACTCAAAGGTAAAATATATGAACAGATCAAGAAAGAAAGGCATAGCATTTTTAAGTCAGCAAGACAGAATTATAGAAGTTTTAAAATTCTAGTATTAAAATCCCAAGTCTACATATGCAGATTTTCTTTTTTTTTTTTTAACGTTTATTTATTTTTGGGACAGAGAGAGACAGAGCATGAACGGGGGAGGGGCAGAGAGAGAGGGAGACACAGAATCGGAAACAGGCTCCAGGTTCTGAGCCATCAGCCCAGAGCCTGACGCGGGGCTCGAACTCACGGACCGCGAGATCGTGACCTGGCTGAAGTCGGACGCTTAACCGACCGCGCCACCCAGGCGCCCCCAGATTTTCAATTATACTTAAAAGTTTGCAGATTGTCAATTATACTCGAAGGGTTAAAAAATAGAAGGGATCTGTTTCAGTCTAAAAACTGTCTTAAACAAGAGCAAAATTATCTCAAATATGAGAAAACAGGAAATCAGCATAAAGCGAGTGTTTAACGAGCTTAGACAGAAAAATCCATATCCTTGCAAGGTCTCGTGTTCAAAAATATTTTCAAGTAAAATATCATGATAACTATAAAACCTTCCATCTATTAAGCTGCTTTTTATGAAAAGTTCAAAAGAAAACATAATAATCTTCTATAAGCAACATTCTAAACCAGAGTGCTAACTCTCTGAAGGAAAAGACAAGAACATTCGCTTTGATCAAAGTTTGGCCAGTTCGGTGATAGCTCTCAATGAGCCCTTGCAAATGTCACAGCTTGGAACCATTTGGTCCTAGTCCAGTTACTTCCACTATTAAAGAAGAATAATAAGGAAGTCTAAGAAATCCAAAACTCTGCTTGGCAAAAAGCTACATGGGAAGTGAGACTACCTTAATACCCTTTCCTTCCAGATGGATAGAAAATGGCTACTGAGAATGAGAACAATAGAGGAAGAAGTGGGTGGCCCACATATATTGGCAGGTTTTGGTTTGAGCATGCAGGTCCTGCATAATGAAAAAAACCCAAATCCAATAAATGCAAATTCCTTACGTGAGGCCAATATGTTAAGGTAGTTTCTGTCAAGATGAAAGATTCATGTTTTAGACTACTTGAAGACATTTATTATAAATGGTCATTGAAAATGTTGCCTCAAGTCACAAGAGGATATGTTGAGTTTATTTCAATAACAATTCCTAATTTGTTGCTAAATGAAAAGAAAATACTACGAACAATGAAGGATTACTGAGCTAAAAAGTTAACAGAGAAACGCAATAAACTGTCGGAGAAAAACTGAATAGAAGTTAGATAAGGATCTGGTTTCTATCTTACCTACTAGATTTATCACAGGCACATTTTAGATAATTTAGACTTAGGCATTTTAGAAGCCTAGATAAAAATGCATACATACTCCAAAATATTTGTAAATATGTTTTATAAAATGGCATTTTCACTTAACATTGTATCTTAGCAATCTATTCACGTAGGACCTTTATATTTACCTGACCTCAATGGCTGCACAATATTTAGGGTACAACAATTTATTAAACATTTGCTTATCAGTATACATTTAGGATTCTTGTTCAGTACACATTAGGCTTCACATTTAATGCATTCTTTCTGACTATTATAAACAGTACTTTGGGTACATGTGCGAGTACTTTGTTGGATAGGCACTTCAAAGTAGAATTAATTGTTGGTCAGAGGCTCAAAGAACTTTAATTAGATACTTGGATTTCGGTAGATTTTGGTATATCAAATTGCCCTCTAAAAATGCTGGAAGTTTTAACAACCAACAGTTAAAAATACTTCCTTCTTTGCATGCTTGTTAAAATTTAATTTTTTTGCCAGTCTGATAGGTGAGATAAGGGGTCAAATTTTTATTTAGTCTACATTTCCCAAGGGTGAATTTGAACATCATTAATTGGCTATTTAGAACTCCTCTTCTGTGAACTGTACTCATATCCTTTGCCAATTAAAAAAAAAACTAAGTTTTCATTTCTTACTGATTTGTACGACCTCTCATATATTGTACATGCTAAATTTATGTTGTAAATGTTTTCCAACCTCTCTGTATGTAGTTCACAGTTGTGTTAAATGCACTAATGTCAGCAAAAGTGCTATATTAATACACATTAGTTACAGTAACTCACAAATGTTGGATGAATGACCACTGGATTTAAAAACGAGGTGTTCTTTGGTTTATTCTTTTATTAGATTCTTCTATGCTTGACATTTACTCAGTCTTTCATAAGGGAAAGATGAGAGATTTTATTTGGAGAAGAGCAGCTTTTTCCTCAATTAATTGCCCTGCCATGGTTCTTTTTTTATTCTTTATTTTAAGTAGGCTCCATGCACAATGTGGGGCCTGAACTAATGACCCTGAGATTATGAGTCACATGCTTACCAGCCAGGTGCCATTGTCATGGTTCTATATGACTTCATATGATATTATATCATATCTCAGAGTATAGGACACTTGTCAGTATCAGTCAATATACTGTTTGAAGACAAGGACCAAATGGCATTTACTTTTATATCACCTAGAGCCTGGCATCATCCTTTGTAAACAGTATACACTCAGTCAGCTTATTTAATGCAAAAAAAAAAAAAAAAAAAAATTTACATATAGGCTTCTCAATCCCAAATATGCTGAGTAAAAAAATGAATAAATAAAATAAAATTAAAAGGGGATTAGAATACAATTTAAAACTCCCAATGTAGTTTTTATTGGTTCAGAATGATCAACAATAGGCAAACCAAATCTTGTGATTAATCTCTGGCTTTCCCACCTACACTAGCTAGAGACTCGGACAAGAGCAGTCAAGAAAGACAGGGGGGATTTGATCTAGCACAAAGCAGGCTCTAGGTGGATTCTGTATTAGATACTAGGTAATGAAATCACTGGAACTGGTCTTAAAAGAAGCCTACAACTGGAGGGTGGTACCATTTCATTATATAGGTTGATAAACACTAAAAAAAAAATTTTTTTTTTTAACCGAACTATCAGGAGCTACAGGAGAGGTTAATAAAGTTGGCGACCCCAGTAGGCTTTTATTTTCAATCTTTAGAATCTCAGATTCCCACTACATTATGCCCTGATTCATGAACTTTTCTTCTCTTTCCTGCTTGTGCTTTTTACTTCCAAATGAAAAAGCAAGAGTCCCAAAATAATACTGAAAAGACCATGGTTGCTCTTAGAGCAAAGTCAATGGAAGTGAACAAAGAGACAGGGCAGACTTTCTTCTGCATTTTTCTCATAACTCAAGTCCCTCCAACATTTAAAGTCAGTTCATATTGATTATTCAAATCATTCATTTATTTATTCAACAAAAATTCCAAGAACTATATTAGGCACTGGATATACAAAGATCAAAAGATACACTCTGTTACTCTCCCAAATATACAGTCTAATGCAAGTTACAGAATACAGAGGAAAACAAAAAAGATGGTTTATACTGCTGGTTTGGCCTGGGTGCAATTTAAGTGGATGTTTTATTATACTGTCTTAATGAGTACTACACATATTCTACTACTTATTTATTTATTTGTTTGTTTGTTTATTTATTTATTTAAAATGATTATTTTTGAGAGAGAGGGACAGACAGAGAATGAGTGGGGAAGGGGCAGAGTGAGAGGGAGACAGAATCCGAAGCAGGCTCCAGGCTCTGAGCTATCAGCACAGAGACTGATGCAGAGCGCAAACCCATGACTGGATCATGACCTGAGACAAAGTCGGATGCTTACCCGACTGAGCCACCCTGTCGACCCTCTACTACTCTTTTTAATGTTTCTGTCTCAGATGCATAAATGAACTTTGGCTCAAATCTGTCAGTTTCTGAGAAGACTATTCAATGTTGCCACAGCTACAGAAAACAAATCTGTTAAAAAAGGTAAAAACAAAAAGAAGGGGATGGGTTATATGACAGGCAAGCCT